TGGGGTTTGGGTATTTCGTTATATTTTACATATATATTTCTAATAATAATATTCTTTTTTATAGGTTCACAAAAAACATAAAATGGAAAGCTGTTTAGATAATGAACTTTTAGCGGTACTTCTAGAAGATTTGTTTTACAATGTAAGTATAAATTACCGATAAATATAGTAAAATTAAATGTAGGAAATCTTTGAATATTTTAAATAAAATATATCTTTGAATTTTAATTTTCAAACTTACTTTAAGGGCTTCTCTGTGGTTTTCACTGATCCTCCGCATGTTTCCATTCAACGTGAATAAAATCCCAATAACCATTTGACAGTCAGGAGGGTACTAATGAGGATAGTTCTGGACTTATGTTCAACAGAAGGGGTTACATACTGATCAACATCCAGTGAGCCTTTGCATAAGTTGCCTCTCACAGGGCCCATTTAAAAGTCATCCAAGGTAGTAGCGATTGTACTTTAACTATTTAAATTGTAACTATAGTCTATTCAGATTTCATTTACGCCGCGTCAAAACAATCTCTCCCACCCGGCAGCAGCTCACGTGGCATTTTCTTGCGCTTCTATTGGTTAATCGGTCGTTAGTCATTCGAGACGACGCATAAATATTCTTGTCAGAGTCGAATTCAGTTCAATTTGGATAATTAGAAACGGCAATTTGGTAGCATTCACCGTGTTTGTTAGTTTGAACATTTTATATGTTTGATTGATTATTTTTCCTTATATTATAGTTTAGATATACATATATAGTGTTATTTATTTTTTTGTTGTTACGGTTGTTGTTAGTTTGGGCATTTTTTACTCTATTTTATGGACATGTGATTGACTATATTTAGTCACTGCTGCGTGATTTTTACGAATTTAAAAAAGTTTCGTTAGTGTTTTATTTATTCGTCTACCACACAGCAGATGAATTCCCGAAAAATATATTTACTGCTCCTAAATATCGACCGAAAAAGGGATATTTGGACATCCGTACTAAAGAAATGGTTCTTAATATTTACAAACATTAAATTTTATAGAACTCTGATATGTTGGTACATGATGTTGAAAGGAGAATTGTTGATAAAACAGGGATGTGCGCTAAAACCATTTTTAATGTTATGAAGCAGTATAAGCAGAATTTTAAATTTTCCGAACCAAAAAGAAAGCTACGTTATAAACAAATTTGCGAATCTGTGGATGATTTTCAAAAAAATGTAATAAGGTGCAAAGTACATCAATTCTTCTTTAAAAATGAATTTTCAACAATCGATAAAGTTTTAAAAGAAGTCAACGATGATCCACATTTATCTACTTTTAAGCGAGCTACATTTCACAAGCTTTTGAAAACCCTTAATTTTAAATTTAAAACTCGAGAAAGAAATAGTTTTTGTGGCGTATTTACAAAAAATAAAACGGTACAGAGAAGAATAACTATATTATCTTAAGGAGACTTGGATTAACGCAGGCCACACTAAATTAAAAGTATGTGTCGATACGTCGGTTCTATCATCCAGACAAGCCTTTTTGAAAGGTCTTTCAACTGGTTTGAAAAACCCATCAGGTATGTGTGTAAAATTATGTTTATAATCCCAAACAAATGAGTTAATGTTTTTTAAGGAAAAGGAAAACGGTTCATTACATGCCATATTGCAAGTGAAGAAGGCTTTGTCTTTGATGCACTTTGTGTCAAAAAAATCCGGTGCCTACCATCAAGAAATGTGTGGAGAATCGTTTGAAGAGTGGTTTTCAAACACCCTACCAAAATTAGAAGATAACTGTATTATCGTGCAAGATAATTCATCTTATCATTCGAGAAAGCTGGAAAAAATACCTAAAACAGCGTCTAAAAAAGGTGATATTCAAAAATGGCTATAAGAGAAAAAAATTGAATTCGACGACAAAATGCTTAAGATCCAACTTCTAAAACTTGTTAAGCAACATAAAAACAATATGATAGGTATGTAATAGATGAGATGGCTAAGCAGCAAAACAAAATAATACTTCGCCTGCCTCCGTATCATTGTGAACTAACCCTATTGAATTAATCTGAGCCGACGTTTAACAATACGTAGCAGAGAAGAACTCAACATTTAAATTTGGAGACATAAAAATTCTTTTTGAAGAAAGAGTATCATTAATTTGTCCAGAAAAATGGAAAAATTGTATCCATCATATTCGCTAAAAAGTTGAAGCAAAAATGTGGGAGTTGGATAATATTATAGAAGTTCAGGTAGAACCACTTGTAATTTCGACTAATGAAGATCAAGTCTAATTCATCCGATTCAGAATAGTGCTAAGTGAAGTAAGAAAGATTGCTATAATATAGGTACAAGGTATCTAATCTAAATACTAGTAGAACAAGAACCATAAAGAACAAAAGTTGTCAAAAATACAAAAAAAGAGAAGCAATGCTGCAATGTTAAATTTTTTTTAAGATGTACAATTTTAAATAAAATACCAAATACCTTTTATATATAAAGTTTTTTAATGTTCTTAGCAGATGTATATTAGCTATTAAAGAATTTGCAATTATTTGGACACCCTGTATAATATAAATTTATTACATGATTGTTTTAATGCTCTGTATCACAGTAGACATATGTAATGACTAAATATAATGCAAAACTTTTTACATCTCTTTTAAAGTCAAATACATATATTAATTTTCATTGCAGGTTAATGCACATTATGTCACTCACCTATTTTCGTCCAGAAATGTTAGTAAAGCCTGGAAGACCCTGTATGCATTGATTTTACACTTTCACTTTACAAAATATGTTTTTATAATAAAAAATTACTCTTTTATTTTACATTTTTGCAAGAGTAAAATACGGCCCTGTTCAATTTTAACGTCCACCTGATTCTGCTTACATCAGGCGTAAATGAAATCTGAATAGACTTTAGTTTTAAAAAGGCATAAAATTATTATATTTTATGTAAAATTATGTAAAAAGATATGTTAATTTTTTTTAATTTTCGAATTGTTCTTCAAACATACCTGTGGTGGTGTGTGTGGCTTCAAAAGAAGCAATATTAATAAAATTGTAAAGATATAACTATGAATTTTTCTAATATCAAGTAGAGTCCTATTTGTATCTCTCCCAAATAAATTAATCTTTAAAATTATTTTTTTTTTATAAAAATTCGCAAAAATGCGACAGCGATCTTTCTCGGAAATCTGCTTTTTAAAAGAGAAGGCTTTAAAAAATTTGTAATTTTTCCCTACTACCGATTTTATCAGATAATTTTAATTTAATTTGATATGTAAAGGTATACATAATGAGCATTAAAGATATAATTAGTTGTATAATTAATAAGTTCTGTGGTTTTAATATTCGATCAATAACTGTTTATATTTACAACTCGAATTTAAAAATATGTCAATTTATATTCTAAAATAAATTATTTTCAAGAAGTGAAATTAACTTTAGTTTTTATTCCTATACTTTTAACCCATAACACTATTAGTATAATTAAAGACACTGGTGAAAAAAGGAGGCAGCTCCATTTTTATAATATTCTTCTTTTTATAGTGGAATATACTAATAAAAGGACGCTCGTTTGATTGGTGTAAGAACGAGGCAGCTCTGTTGATTTGTATAGAGGTCATACGGAACATATTTTTGTTCCCTATTTCAGTTCGGTGCAAAAAGGAGACAGCCCGACAACTTATTTTTAAATTCTTTAACTTTAACTAAATTATTTAAAAGTGTGAAATTTTGATCTATTATTATATTCTTTACTAAACTACATCCTGATGTTTACAAAAAACAATTAAAATAAATATTCTTAAATTTAAATTGTTTTTTCCTTCTTCTGAAAAATTAATAAAAACGGAGCTACCCCCTTTTTCCACCAGTGTCTTCAATTAGTTGATCAGTTTTGTTAATTAATCCTTAAAATTAAAACATTATTTTCTTGCTGTCAATATGACTTCACTATTTTTCACTTACCCATTAGGCGTGCCAGAAGATGAAGTTCCAAACTTCAAAACTCTTTGCATTAGATACAAAGTACTTTTTCTTCTGTACCCTTTCATTTAATTATAAAGATATCATTGAAATCCGCGAAAGCCTTTTTTAAATATATCTATTAATAAACCGAAACAATTTTTTAAATAAACTGTTACCCCCTGTATCTAAGAAACAAAGTTTTTCCGACATATTCTTAAAACAATAATGAATCACTCTGTACACATATAGATAGTTATAAAACTATCACTTTTATCAGTTGCTAAGATATCCATTTTTGACACTAGCGTTTTATAATAATTACTACAGATAATTTTTAGTTGATTTTGTAATAGCTAATGAAATTTGAATTCACTCCTTTCTACCTACCTCAACGAAAAAGGCATAAACAGTTGCTGGAATGGGTAAAACCGATAATGGGGTCTATTCTGTAAAAATTCCTTTATATTTAACGGCCTTTAAAAATATTTTCTTCTTTAATTCGGTCACTATTTAAACGGATCTTTAAAATACATTAGAGGACTATCTTAAAGAAATCTGTTTAAATAATGATAGAAGTAAATTAACGAATACGAACATATTTTTTTAGGCCGCCAATATTTTTAAAGGCCGTTAAATATAACGGAATTGTTACAGAATAGACCCCAATGTTAGGTAACTGTTGTCTGACATTTTAATCCCGAATGAAAATCGATTTAAGGAGTTCTTTACGAAAAACTAAGTAGATCCATTATATGCCTTTGCGTACTCCTTTTCTTATTCTCTCGTATTTACCTACTTCAAAATATCACCATCACATTTATTTTTTATTTTAAAAATCGGGAACATTTAATGTTGACCACAATCAATATACTTTAAAAAAAAATCTAATTTGCTTAGCCTTTCACGTCGGCACGAACTAAACAACGTAAAGTTTATTTCTCGTTTACTCCTTGTTCGCTGATTAGTCCGTTGTAAAATTACTTTAAAAAAAATAACACCCAGTAAATGGTACCGCTATCAATCCGTTGGAAAAAAAGGACAATCCTTTTATTAAAATAAGGACAGAGCGAAGCCGCCTATTTCATCGAAGGTCATTTCGTTTACTTTGATTCGTTATATAAACGAGGGGTAAAAGGGTAACGATATCAGTTTGATTCTGTGACTTCAATACAATCAACATGAACACTTTGGTAAGACAGTAATACAATTCTTGAAAATTTTAATTTAATTTCGAAATTTCTAAAACGGGAATAATTTTATGTGTTCTATTTAATTTTATAATCTAAAATAGTAGTTTGTGCAACAATAATGGATATTGACCATATCTCACGACGACGGAGTTTGAGTACGACGCCGTAGACGGATTGCTCAAGCGTCTAAGTGCTATGCGGACAATCAACTCGAGTCGTGTAGTATTTTTTACGAACCACTAACGAAAATATACAAAATTTTAAAAATTGTTTCATGGCATATTAGGATAAAATAAATATTTTTGAAGATCATTAATTTAAAATTATAAAGTTTACTAATAAAATAAAATAAAAAAACTACGGACCTTGGAAATGGAATGTTTAACTCAAATTGTTGCCATTATTTATAGATTATTCACAAGAATTACTCATTTTTAATCTCACTAACTAAAAAATATACTGACAATGTTTGACAAAATTGTTACTTATTTAAAATTTTAAAAAATAATATGAACTGTGATTGATGGATTCCATATCCATATAAAGTCCTTACTAGAATTAATATGATGTTATTTAACGTTCAGTAGACTGTGCTAAAAATAAGTAATATGCATATTGGTGTAGAAAAAGTACTTTTTTATTTAATTTTATTCTCTAGAGTTATATTGAAGATTAACATCTATATTTTAGGATTTTTTAAATTTACAAAAATAATCAAAATTGCCATAAAATATACGCCAAAATCTACTAAGCGTTAAAGAAACATCTTAATGTTTTAATTAGGCAACTAAAACTTTTTACTCAATAAAAAATACTGGTGTATATTAACAATCATAGTGGTGGTGCCATTAGATTTTTTCGTAGCTTGTTCTGTAATTACTGATTTTTTAATTGAAAAATCCATACATTGTCGGTTCAAGTTTTATTTTTCCTTTAATCCAATTCGTCCATTGTTCTCGGCCCTTTGCCATTCTTTTAATTTTTCATTTTTTCTATTTCTTCTTATTACTTCTGTTATCTTTTGACATATTTTCATGGCTCATAGTTCCGCCTCTTTTCCTTTCTATCTTTCTTCTGTTTTTTTTCTGTCTACTTTTTTCTATCTACTTTTTTCTACCTTCTTTTTTCTATCTACTATTTTAACTGTCTGATTATGTGTCCATACTTAGTGAGTTGCCTATTTTCTTAGTGATTAAATATTTTCTGTTATTTTTTCTATTTATTCGGGTGCTAAGTTTTTCGAATTGGTCCTCTTAGGAAACTTATTAATTCTGTTTCAGATAGGTGTGTCTTTTGTCTACATCCGTATTTCGTTCGCATATATTATTGCTGAGTCGACTATTGTATTGTATATTAATATACCAATTTTCTGTTTCCTATTATTGGTATATTTATAAAAATGATAATTATTTAGCTCTTTTTGCCTTGTCGTTGATATTTCCATATTTAATTTTCAGTTATTACTGTGCTTTCCGTGTATTCATAAGTGGTTGCTATTTACAGACTTTACTGGTTTAATTTTACATTTCTGTCCTTTCCTTGTTTTATTAGGTCTGTTCCAACAACGATCAGAAACCAGCCAATGATACCAGGATTCTGCGCAGCATGAATTTGGTTGTTTAAATAATCTACTGCGCAGAATCCTGGTGTCAGTAACTGATTTTGGATCGTTGTTGGAACAGACCTATTTATTGAATTTTATTTTTATTTTTCTGATTGGAGAGTCTCTATTTATGTTGTCTACAAGGTAAATGTGCATAATTTTCTTTGATTTAGCTATTAATACGTTATTGTTGTATATTAAAGGATACTTTCAAGTTCATTTTCTATATCCAACAGTGGTTTGGTCTAGTTTTCGTGATTAACCAGTACATATCTATAACAAACAGTACTGGTCCAAACTGTCTACCTATTATAAACTCTTTTCCAAATCAAAACAAATATATATTTTTTAGAGTTGTCACTAAAAAAAGAAAGTATCTTTTTTAAATTTAGTCAATGTATAAATTTACCCCAATATTTAATTTTTTTCAAATAAAAGCCTAGAATTGGTAACCATAGTGTAGTTCGCTTCTGGGCTGATTAATATTTAATTAGAAATTAATTTTTGTACATTATATTGTTTTCTCTTTTCAATAATTTCTCATTCTCTTTTAATTGCCAATACTGCGGATGGGTTGCCCCACATAACTTAGGCCTCCTTAGGCATATTGTACATTCTCCAGGAACATATAGATACTGTACTGCCTTTTAGTTTGTCAAAAAGCCTACTTATAGATAATGTTGCTGAGAAGTGTCTCTTGATACCCCATTCACTTATTATCCTATTACGAGATATTACTTGAGAGAAAGTGACCATTTAGTGAACTTCTACTGCCCAAATGTAAATGTTCAATCCACAGAGTGCACGATTCCGACTATTTGCTTATCCGTTTCTTCCATTAGTTCGTGCCTTCCAATTACCTATCAGTGTTTTCCCCCTTTGATTCACAATTTATTCTATTTTTCCTAGGCGCCGTTCCCTAGGACTTCTTCGCTTTCTTTTATTTTATCTATTTATTTTCAATACCTTTTTTAATATTGAGATTTTATCTCTTTTCTGACCATACCAATGGAGCTGTTTAAAGCTGAAATTAGACTATCATTGGTTTGTGTCCTACTGTTTATTAAAGTAACGTCATCTTGGCTTTCAAACCAGCTTACTTTTATGTCTTGTTACTGTTTTAAAACAATTGATATAGATAACTTCGCTGTTTAGTCACCTGGACTAAGCCTTTTTAATTTTATTGTATAAGAGACATATCTGAATATATTATTTAAGATCTGAACACTGGATAGACTAGGTGTGGAAAAGAAAGACTCATACTATATTATCTTCAAATACAATATATTCGATCTAGAAACGAAAAGAGAATTCCAGATAGAGTTTAATAAATTTTAATAAGAAATAGAGACAGGACTGGTATCCGAGCATATAGTAGCCTTCCTAAGACAAAAATAAGAATCGTTACTCTAATCTAAAATTATAAAAACGAATCAGCCCTTTATGTGGGTATTTCGGTATACTCTTTTGCTAATATTTTTAATTTTCGGACCTAAAGACAACTATTTTTATTTTTCAGGTAGTACTCGCTTTCTTCGCCCTCGCAGCTTCTGCCTCTGCCTCTGGCCTCGGCCTTGGTCTTGGTCTTGGTTTGGGACACGGTATACACGGTGGATGGGGTGCATGGGGCGGTCACGGACCCTCTGGAGTCGTAACTGGAGCCGGAGCTGCCGGACCATCTGGAGTCGTAACTGGAGCTGGAGCTGCTGGACCTTCTGGAGTAGTTAACGGACTTGGAGCTGTAGGACCAACTGGACCCAACGGACATGGTGTATGGGGATTGGGACACGGAGGATGGGGTGCTGGAGTTGGTGCCTTGGGACTTGGACATGGACTCGGTCTTGGTGTCGGTCATTTGGGTCTCCACGGTTAACTTACAAGGTTGTCTTGTAAAAAAAATTGATTGTTGATTGTTTAATATAATACAAAATTTGAACTGATGTAAAATAAACATAAACGTTGTACATACATATATTTGTGTGTTTTACTATTTACCTATAGACTATATATTAATGATATGAAATTAACTCCGTTCAGTTTATTAACACTGCCTTTAAGTTCTCAATTGATATTAAATAATCAATGATGCTTACATACTTACTTTCCATTAACCAGTATGGAAAATAGAAGGATCATAATTCTTTGGACTTTGATCTTTTACGAATTTTACATTTAGACCACATTCTGTCTGTTTTTGTGTCTGTATGTTTACAATAACTTTAAAACGGATAAAGAGAAAAATCCCAAATTTGTTATTATAATGTAATTTTTTATAATTTTTGTCATACAAAGGATTTTTCTAAAATATAACATAATGGACAAATTTGTTGTTTATGGTGTTTGCGATGCAAGTGCAGAATTAGATTTGTTTTAATATTTTCGTTAGCAATAAAGACATAAAACAATGTTTTGAATAAAATGTGTGTGCAGAAAATGTTAATCATTAATCAGAATGATATTAAACAATTAATGGAAGGAAAAGAAGACGAAGTACTTTCAGTTAAAAAATGCAGATTACATCCATAAAGGCAGATGTTGTTAAAGTAACAGAAAATAACACTAATGAAGATAGAGTACCAATATGATATTCTAAAGTTCTTAGTAATAGAACGCAACCAGCTCTAATCACTCAGCCTAAAGATCCAAACCAAGACTGAAATAGTACATTCTGTCAATCCGTTTCAAGTAGACATTCAGTTAGCAAAAGTAAAAAATGTTCGTGATGGTGGTGGTATCTTAATGGTATTCATCGTCCAAGAAAAATGTCTGATAATTACGAGGTCAGAAAGGTGGTCGGTATTTGTACACGAGTTCGTATTGTTGGAATGTCCAAAAAATATTCGGATTTGATTTGATTATGAGCGGTAACTCACACATTTTCTCAGAAGATCCTTAGTACTTCCTACAAAGAAAAATGATAAAATCTTTTAGGCTATTGTTCATACAGATGAATCAATGAACGATAGATCTGGAAAAGCTGATTTCTAATTTGTTGGATATGACAGTTGTAGTGTGTATAACGCTGTTGATGTATCCCGCTGTTTTAAATGTCAGAAGACTCTATATTGTCTATTATGCAATGATAATCATGACGTAAAACAATGTAGGTCCCAAATCCGTGAATGTTTGAATTACTTTAAACTGCACGTTTGAGAGAAACTCAATTGCACAGCTTACATCAGGGGCCTAAATTCAGACAAGATATTCTGGCTTTCCAGTAGTAATCATTTGGCCAATTTCTCTCCAATCATGCCAAACCCACTAACATAACCGATGTTATCACAATCTATTATTAAAATGTTTGGGGGATTACGAACTAAAATAAAACAAATTTTGACAAAGCAAATTTGAATGTTCTATATAACCTGATCTCTAATATTGATTAAACTTTTATAGAAGTATTTTAAAATGCCGAAGATACCTGTACATATTTTTACGGTAAGCTTTATGCGTTTGATCAGTGTGTACCGAGATTTAGCAATAACAGTAAACATAAAAGCTATCCACCATGGTTTAACTTCAATATCATTAAACTTATTAAGTAAAAAAAGCAAAATTCCTAAAATTCTATATAAAAACACGATGACTTGTACGACGTAGTTTTGCGCAATTTAAATTAGATTTCTGCATTTTTTCGGGCATTACCCGAATTCGAGTATTGTGCGTAACATATACAAACAAATATCTGCACTTCAATAAATTGCGATTTTTATATGTAAAAAATCAAATAACTTTTTTAAATATACAGGATGAGTCATAAGAGCTAGCCGTCAATTTGAGTAACGTGTTATAAGGGTAAACACTTTTAGATTTATAATATAATACAGCGAATGCGATATCTACATTAAAATTTTTGAAAGTATCAAAAAATTATAAAAATTAACGTGTTTTCACAAGGCTAAAATTTTTAGGAAATATTCTTTGAATTATTTTATTAACAAAATTACAACTGCCAGACCATTCGGGCCGTTGCTAGTGCCCGCCAGACGAGTATACTGAGTGCGTTACTTAAAAATTCCATTCACTTTTAGCTTTGTTCTTAATTGAGGTAACGGAATGATTTTTTTTATTAAAAGTTTGTTGTAAGAACTTTATTGTAACTGGTTCAGTTAGTCTGTGACATCACAGATTCATTTTTCGGAAAGGGCAAAATTTAACCCTTTCAAATACTAGAAAAATTAATTGTTGCAAAAAAAAAATATTTCCTAAATTGTGGTTTTAGAAAAATATACCAGATTACATAAAAAAAGGAATTGAGGTTTTTGTTTAGCTTATCGAAGCAAAAGTGACAAAACCACTTAATAATGAAAAAACAAACGATATAACCAAATTTGGGATTTGGTCTCTTGCAACTCAAATACGACCAGTTTTTTACGATCCCCAGAATAATGGATGAACTTTTCATAAATGGTACGAGAAAACCAAATACCAACAGAATAAAATGATATAATTTTAAACTTAGTAGAAGATTCGGAGGAGTTCGTACTATCTGACGATGACGAATAAATAGTACAACTTGTGGTCGTATTACCCAAAATATATAATGCCATTTCTAATTCCTATATTACATATCTGCATATTTGTGATTTCTTTCTGGCTGTTGTATTTTTTTACTGCTTTAGCACATTGAGCTTAAGTTGTCCCAATAATATATGATTTTTTTATTTTAAAGTAGTCTTAACTTTGTCACATATTTCAAAAAATTCCATTTTTGTTTCTGTTTAACTACTGTTTTTCGCGTGTTCTTTTTGTATAACGATTATTTTTATTATGTGTTTGTGACAAGTATATATAAATCTGTTATTTCTTACACCTATTGTTTAATAGTCGTTTATTCACATACAAAGTTTTAAAGAGAACCAATGGCTCTGCTAGCACCATTTGTGATTTTTTTCTTTAGTGTATATTTTAGAAACCTAACAGATTTTTTTATTTGTGCTATTTCTGTTTTACATACCTGAAGTTTTGTTTTTAATTTTTTTAATGTGTTAAATATATTTAATGAGGTAGCTGATTTTTTTTTGAGGTGCCTATAATAAAGCAGGTATTTGTAAAGGCATTTAGAAAATGTTATATCGAACAACATACATAATATATATAATTTGTTAAAACATAACCTTGACTTTATATTATTATTAGATAAGTTGAAATTATCTGTATGCTTTACTGAGTTTGTTTTTCTAAATACTATTACTAATAAATCTATAGGTATATTTAAATAATATTATCTGCAGTGACATTTTTACAATAACTCCCAGTTATTCACTATACCTAATAAATTTCGGTTCACACAGTGTTCAGATTTGAAATTTTTTCTTTATATTCACCAATTAAATTAACATCCTGTATATGAAATTAATTATTTATTGATTTAAAATGTTTAATTTCATATGCAATTAATAATAAACACGTTCCAATTTCGTATCTAGTTCGATGTGTAAATTATAATAATAAAAATGCTGACTTATTTCAAAATTATTTTCAAAACATTGAACTAGAGAGACTGAAATTGGAATAAAAATATTTTTCTAATGTACATTTAAATAATTAAATAATATTAATTGTTATTGTATATTGTTTATTCTGTGATAATATAAATGTAAATGCAAAACGAAAAATAAAGAGATTGACTAAGAACATGTGGTAGTTTACTTTACAAAATTATCTCTGAAATGAGATTTATGAAAACCATCTTGTGGTAATATTTTACAACAATTAAGCTCTGAAATCTATTCATACAGAGAATATTTCAGAGATTTTATTGATATATTTCCAAGCAAAATGAACTTGAAGGTAAATGAAAAAGGTACAATCAAAATTCAAAAGCTAATCGATGGAAACTGGTATGATGCAACAATTCTTAACTTATTATATATACCTGATTTAAAAAAAACCTCTTTTCTGAAGGAGTCATTACATCAAAAGGTATGAAAATCGTTAAAAGCGGTTGCGATGCTGAATTTTTTGACGCAAAAAGTACTTTGTTAGCCTGCGCAGTAGAAGAATCTAATAATTTATACAGAATGTTATTCAGAACTATTGTTCCATATGTTATACAAACTAATAATTTGAGAGTGGGTCATGTTAATACAAAAGCACTAGAAGAAATGATATCAAAACACATTGTCACCGGCGTAAACATAAAGAATGTAAATAAATTCTTTTGTGAGTCCTGTGCATATGGAAAATAAGCTAAATTACCTTTTTCAAAGAAGCCAACAAAAAAAAATAAAGTCAAACCAGGCGAAGTAATTTATAATGATCTTTCTGGACCCATAGCAACACCATCTGTTGGAGGAGCCAGATACTGTGTTGTATTTAAAGATGCATACTCCGGTTATAGGGTTGTGTACTTTATAAAACATAAATATGATACACTGAACTGTTTTAAAGAATTTTATACTTTGTGTAAAAACAAATGTGGGCATAATATAACAATTTTACATATAGATAACGCAACCGAGTATGGATGGCAATGAAGAAATATTTTTTTTTTTAAGAAACGGTATAGAAATGGAAAATACTGCTCCGTATACTTCAGAACAGAATACGAGAGCTAAAAAAGAAAATATAACCATAATAGAAAGTGCTAGAACCATGTTGTGCCATTCAAAATTCCCAAAAGATTTATGGGGATATACGGTAAATACTGCAATATTCTAAATAGAACCCCAACAAAGCAAGCACCAGATTTGTGGTGATGTATGAGATGTGGACTAATAAAAGCCGTTTTTGAGACACTGTTTTTGGATGTAAGGCTTTCATTCGCATCCAAAAATGAAACGAACAGTTAGATCCTAAAAATTAAAAGCTTATCTTCGTGGGCTAGGATAGAAACTCGACAAATTACAGACTTTACGATCCATGCACAAACAAGATTACTATTTTTTGAAATGTAATCTTTAATGAAACAGTGGAAGAGTTTATAAAGATTTAAGATGACAAAACTATAGATCCACAACAAATACCAATAGAAACAGTGAAAGAAATTGAAGAAGAAACTCTATATAAAGAAGACGAAAATATACA